TCATAAATCTCCTACCACTTTAGGCCTCTGAAGAAGACGACTTGTTCGAGACGTTATGCCGCCACTAATAAAGATCTACTAACCTCGGACGACTTACTTACCTATAGCACATCAAATATATGGTTTACTTACTCCAAAATTCAAAATTCGGTGTACAGACAACTCAAGACGCAGAGCGAAGAACGCCCTTACGACTTTGTGTTGTGATGCGGATGAGTCTTGCTTCGCCGACTTTTGCGAAAATGGCATCAAATGGTCGGTGAAAGGAATTGAGCATACATAAGCAGTGGAAATAAGCAAGAGAATGTGGTCTTTGTTTTCAAGCTTTCTAAATGTATTTTACGGTGAATGACAAAGAAACTATGAAAGGCATAAGAGATTTTAGTCAATTTTTTTATTCTACTCTTACGATAGAAAAGCTTGTGGTAGTTCGGTAAAACAGGCAGAGAGCTTTCAAATATATGCAGACATTCTGCAAAAGCGAAAATTGAGAAAAATTGAGAGGAAAAATATGAATGAACTTACTACGCAGACTAGTTTTTGTGGAGCTTATGACTTACCTTCTTTATCTTCATTACTGATTATACCGGAGTACTCTTCCTTGAAAAGGAACTGAACAACAAAACAACAAATCACAGATAGTATAACCATGAAGAACGCCGGGACCGTATACATATTGAAAACTAAAGCTCCAATTCTTGCTCCATACTCTCCTATAGGTGTGAAGACAGCCTAAATCAAATGATACACTCAAATACATTTCTCGCATGTGTACTTCAGGTCAGCTTTAGCAAATTCCTGCTTCTCGTTTTTAGAGTGTAGTTCTGACTTCGAGACAAAATTTATACTCTCGCGATTTAAGTGGTTCTTGGACGATTTGCGGAGACTCTTGCCCCCTATATAGGTTGCTGAGACCGTTATTTGTTTGAAATTGGGAACAATGATGATCAATTACTTTCTTCAGAATCACGAACTTTTGATCACATGAAAAGGATAAACCTCTTTGTGTCAAGGTGCTTACCTGTATTGCAGGACCAAACGAAAGGCCAAGACCGTAGCCAGCTGTACCAAAAGATACTGCCCTAAGACGATCTTTTGGTACAGAAGCCGTAGCTGCATGTGCTCTCAGAACAGACAGAGTTCCTGAATTGAAAGAACGTTTCACTATTTTTGGTAAGCGTCAAATTACCTGCACCAAAACCCGTTAATAATCTTGCCCCTAACATTACCTACTTTTGATATGAGCTAAGTAGAGGTAACAGAGCGAAAATTCCTTGACCTAAACTAATCCATTAACTAGAACCCATGTGCGGGTCTTTAAAAAAT